GCAGGGCTGCCCTTTGTCACCGGTTCTGTTCATTATTTTTATGGACAGAATTTCTAGGTGCAGCCAGGGGCCGGAGGGAATCCTGGAGGGAGTCCACAGGATCTCGTCTCTGCTTTTTGCAGATGATGCTGTCCTGTTGGCTCCATCAAACCAGGACCTCCAGCGTGCACTAGGGCGGTTTGCAGCCAAGTGTGAAGCGGCTGGGATGAGAATCAGCGCCTCCAAGTCCAAGGCCATGGTTCTCAGTCGGAAAAGGGTGGCTTGTTCCCTTCAGGTTGGTGGAGAGTTCCTGCCTCAAGTGGAGGAGTTTAAGTATCTCGGGGTCTTGTTCACGAGTGAGGGAAGGATGGAACGGGAGACTGACAGGTGGATTGGTGCAGCTTCTGCAGTATTGCAGTTGATGTATTGGTCCGTCATGGTGAAGAAGGAGCTGAGCTGTAAGGTGAAGCTCTTGATTTACTGGTCAATCTACGTTCCGACTCTCACCTATGGTCAGGAACTTTGGGTCATGACCAAAAGGACAAGATCCCAGATACAGGTGGCCGAAATGAGCTTCCTCCGCAGGGTGGCTGGGCGCACCCTTCAAAGATAGGGTGAGTTCAGTCACCCAGGGGGGAGCTCAGAGTAGAACCGCTGCTCCTCCACATCGAGAGGAGCTAACTGAGGTGGCTTGGGCATCTGTTTCGGATGCCTCCTGGGCGCCTTCCTAGGGAGGTGTTCTGGACATGTCCCACTGGGACAAGGCCCCATGGAAGACCCAGGACATGCTGGAGGGACTATGTCTCTCGGGCTGTCGTGGCAAAGAAGGAGCTGAGCTGTAAGGCGAAGCTCTCGATTTACTGGTCGATCTACATTCTGACTCTCACCTATGGTCATGAGCTTTGGGTCATGACCGAAAGGACAAGATCCTAGACACAGGCGGCCGAAATGAGCTTTCTCCACAGGGTGGCTGGGCGCACCCTTAGAGATAGGGTGAGGAGCTCGGTCACCCAGGAGGAGCT